CCGTGACGGTCTGGGTTAGAATATTGATCCTCAGTAACCCATGCCATGCATGTCGTCAGGCTTGAAGAGGTAACTCCCAACGGGATGGTGGTCAGGCTTGCTGGCTTGGTTGACACATGTCATCGGTTCCCAGTTGTGCAGATCGATGCTCATGCTGTTGATCACTGGATTATCTGGTCCAGACTTGATTATTTCCAGACCGCAACCATATAGCTAGTATATAGCAGAGTGTGATTGGCGTAAAACTAAACTCCCTCACTCTTCCCCATCACTTCAGATATTCCCCTTCCTTGTGAAATACCCACTCAGCTCATTCTTATCTGGAGCTCTGGGTACAATGTATGAAGCCCATTTCTGGTGTCCCCCACCATAATATTGCTGGAATATTGCTAAAAGCGGCATAAAACTAAACTCACTCACTCACTCATTTATACCTGGCCTGAAGACCCATCTGTTTAATAATCACTGACAAGTGTTCATCTATTTTGTGTATGCGCTCAGAACATGCCCTGTGTAGTGTGGAGTTAGTGCCCTGTGTAGTGTGGAGTTAGTGCCCTGTGTAGTGTGGAGTTAGTGCCCTGTGTAGTGTGGAGTTAGTGCCCTGTGTAGTGTGGAGTTAGTGCCCTGTGTAGTGTGGAGTTAGTGCCCTGTGTAGTGTGGAGTTAGTGCCCTGTGTAGTGTGGAGTTAGTGCCCTGTGTTGTGTGGAGTTAGTGCCCTGTGTAGTGTGGAGTTAGTGCCCTGTGTAGTGTGGAGTTAGTGCCCTGTGTAGTGTGGAGTTAGTGCCCTGAGTATAATTGTTGTTATTGTATTAAAACAATTGTTAAAATTTCTCTGCAATACAAAAAAATGGGACTGTCAAAAACAAATATCACAACATGTTTTCCCTAATTTTTGCACAAAGGGTGCCTAGTCAGGAATCCTGAATGATCCCAGGGTGATATTGCTATACATAGTATATGGCCTTGTCGACAGGTAAATAAAAGTCACTGTGCCCTGGGATGAGTGATTAGGACGCCGGTACTATCATAGTACTGTTCTGTTTTGCTCTGGAAAATTTATAATCGGAAACGTTTTTTGTTTAACGCCGCACTCGGCAATATTCCAGTCAGATGCCGCTGGTCTGTAAACAATCAAGTCTGGACCAGACAATCCAGTGATCAACATCATGAGTATCGATCAACGCAATTAGGATACGATGGCGTGTAAATCAACCAGTGATAAACATCACAAGCATCAATCCATGCAGTGGACTTGTGTAAACCTAGTTAGCCTGATCACTCTAATCCGTTAGTTGCCTCTTACTAGTGGTGGTCCGATTAATTGAAATAATCGAAGATTGGTCGTAGTGACTAAACGACCAAGCAATCGATCATAATTTCTCATAATCGAACGCAAACAATTCTGGAACACTTGTTTTCATTAAAAGTATTTTTCACTGGGTTGGTTTTGTCTGTTACATTTCATAAGCACTACAAGATCGTTCCAAGTCCTGATTGAATTTATCTTAAAGACTCTAAGAAATTTATGTTCCTAACATATTAGTCATCCTTTAAAGATGTGAAATTTTGCCAAAAAAACCCCAAAGAACTACGTTTTTTTCCGTATTTTTTGTGTATTGACAAATTTCATAAATGATGCTAACCAATTATTTTCGATGATTGATCGGTGGTAATGAACCAATCATCAATTATGAGATTTTAACCAATTCCCAACACTACCTCTTACGACAAGCATGGGTTGCTGAAGACCAGTTCTAACACAGATTTTCATGGGTCATAATTGGATACAGGGTTTTTTGCTTTTAATAATTGTATATGATATACAGTGCACCATGGTTATAATGCCCCTGGTTATAATGCCACCCTGGATATAATGCCATGTTTTTGCCAGAACGGATTTCCTGCCTATATAATACCCTGGTTATAATGCCAAACTGGATATAGTGCCATTTGCCAATGTTTTTTGGAACAAAAGAAATTTTCCCCTGGTTATAATGCCAATTACACTGGCTGCATGTAGTATACATACCTTAATTGGTTAACTGACATGACTCAAATTTATTGACCAAACTCATTAATGCTTCATGTGGTCATGTAATCCCAGATAGGATAACACATGTGACAATACACTTCCTGCCACCTATTACAAGTCACCAGTCATGTAGTCATGTAATCCCTAGGATAACGCTGGTACTTCCTGCCAGTCTATAACAAGTCACCTGCAGCCCCTACGCGCTGGTATTATCCAGTCATTCAAGGATCATTGCAGGAGACATCAGCTCAATTACCTTGTTGATTACACGGGTCCTCTAACTGTCCTACCTAGTTCAGGGGTGGAAATAACTTTTAAATTGCTAGTGAACTCCGGTACAGTGGCACGTGTAAAATCACTTGCCCTGATCATTTTTCCACTATACCGACCGTTTTCTTGTTGATTTTTTAAATAAACAACATTATTAACATTGGAAAGTCAACTGGACACCGGTATAGCGTGATATACAAATTTGCTTGCCCGACAAAAAAGCACTGGACTCGGACGTCGGGCAATGTGTTATTTTCACCCCTGTGGTTATAATGCCACCCTGGATATAATGCCATATTTTCTTTGGACAAACAGTGGCATTATGAGGCCCCCAAAAAGTATATGTCCGTTTCCTAGAACATGCTTTTTAAAAATAGGGTAGGTGGGTTGATTTTATCTTCTTTTTTAAAACTTTTTTTTTATCCCCCGCTGCGCGTTTAGCGTTGGAATATCTTAAGAACCGTTGACTGGATTCTTTTCATATTTGGTACCTAGGTTCATCACAGTAAAAGAAAGGTCCCAGTCAGGTTTGGTGACCTTGACCTTCATTTCAAGGTCACAAAGGGACTTTAACGTTTTACCCTTGTCAGCGAGATATCTCAAGAACCGTTCACTGGATTTTCTTCATATTCAACACCAAGCTTTATCTAGGGAAGGCGTAGGGCCCAGTCGATTTTGGTGACATTCACATAACTTTCAAGGTCACGGCGATACTTTGAAGACTTCAGCATGTTAACCTGCATGTAAAGATTGTCAGCGAGATATCTCAAGAACCATTCACTGGACTTTCTTCATATTTGACACCAAGCTTCATCTAGGGAGGTCCAAGTTCCAGTCGATTTTGGTGACCTTCACATAATTTTCAAGGTCACGGCAACACTTTGACGATTTCAGCATGTCAACTGCGTGTTAAGATTGTCAGCGAGATATCTCAAGAACAGTTCACTGGATTTTCTTCATCGACTTTCAAGACTTCCCTTGAATGTTTTTCAATAAGCCATTTCTTTATTACTATTTTTGCATATTTCATACACTAAGACATTCATGTCAAGGTCAAAGTGAGTCTTGAAAATATTTGTGCGTTTGAATAACTACAGAGCAAGATATCAAGAGAGGTAGACTGGTCATGTATTTGTGGACATTTAACTCCATCTTAAATTACGACCTTCACTTTCATTACTTTTTAAGTTTGATTTGATCATTTGCGGCGGGGGATTATGTCACCTTAGTGACAATGCTTGTTTTAGTAGCACCAGGTGGGCAAATGAGAATGTCTTCAAGGATACCATTTTGTGTTGTTACAATGCCTTGTGATGAAACATTGAAAGATTTCTATATCAAATCATTATTCATGTTATTTATTTGCAGATTTTGTCAGTGAGATCCCATTATGCCAATTCAATGCAATCCATTTTATCCCTACTTACACTGAAATACATGACAATATTTTTGTTCAAGAAGTGGAATCTCAGCTGATTTTCTCCCGAGCATTAGTATATATTTTTCATCTATTCTGTACATTTGTACTGGACACATTTCTATGTTGCGTAAAACCGTGACATGCGATATGAACGATACTCATGATCGGAAGAATGAATTCATTTTGAGTGCAACTTGTGTGTAATGGTAGAGCAACAACAGACAGCGTAATTTGTTTTCGCCTTCAAAGCACGTTTGATTATGTGTGTGATTCTGTTCAAGGCACATATTTAATGACAATGTTTTAACGTCCTTGTGACCAATATTTCCATTGGCAATACACAAATACTGTATCACTAAACTACTTTTATGAACTTTATATTGCCAAGATTGAAAATTAGCTTTCTATGAATGTTAATATTTATTTACCGTTGTAATACTGGTGAATAACAATTCCATTGTTTGTTTCTTTTGCTTGCAGATACCGAACAGAAGTGATATTTTATAATACCTGGATACTGTTTGAAACAAAAGTGCTTTTAAAGACTTTCTGTTACTCATTAAAAAGCTAGTTGGTTGATACTTGCATTTACCAATTTTAGTGTGAATTTCTTTTGCTTGCAGATCAGAACAGAACTGATATTTTTTATACCGTTTGACACAAAACTGTTTTTAAAGACTTTTTGTTGCTCAGATTGAAAAGCAAGTTGGCTAACACATGCATTTATCAGTTCAAATGTGCCTTTCTTTGTTTGCATATCACAACAGTTCCGACATTTTCAATACCAGGACACTGTTTGACACAAAACTGCTTTCAAAGACCTTCTGTTGCTCATTTTGTAAAGCATATTGGTTAACACTTGCATTTATCAGTTCTAGTGTACCTTTCTTTTGCTTGCATACATCAATGCAGAACTGATATTTTTAATACGTGGATACTGTTTGACACAAAACTGCTTTTTAGGAATTTTTGTTGTTCATTGGAAAGCATTTATAATTGAGTTTACCAAATCCAGTGTGCCTTTTTTGCCCCATGTTGAGATGGTACCAACAGTATTAAGACCAATATTCATTCAGTTCCCAGGTGATATTTAATGACAATCTGAAGCTTTGGGTGTTGATGTGCCAAATATCTAAATTAACAGTACTCTCTGTACAGTGTTGCAATAAACTGCCTTAAAGACTACATATCGCCCACTTCAAGAATCATCTGTCTATGAATGTTCCCATTGGTCAATACTTCTGCTTACCAATTCCAATGTTCCTTTTTTGCCCCCAGATATCGAGACAATACCGACTACAGTCCCAGAAGGCACCCCATTACCCATAGAAGCACAGTCAGTCGAAAACTTTGGTTCCTGGGTTCCCACTCCAAGTAAATCATCATCGTCAGGCCGATTTGGTAAGGGATGTTTCTAAACTCGTATTGCAGGGATGTTTAAAAATCTAAACCTTATTTGAAATAAGTCTTTGTTAGTCAGACAATCACTTAACTTTCCATTTGACCTTGACATTCCTAAATTTGACCTTGACTTACCTGATACTTTGACCTTGACCTACCTGACAGTTTGACCTTCACACATGTCGAAAAAGGGGTCCTGATAGTTTGCTTCTGTCGTATTTAATTTAAGCCTGCATACCTGTTTCTTTAACCCATTCAACATCGCAGGCCGAATAATCGGCCATAAGGTTATGAGTCCCCAGACACCGGAGGCCGATTAATGGCCAGGCAGTAGTCACGTCAAAATGAGACATTATTTTAGGAACCTACCTGACTTATGATTCATATTTTAAATCTATCACATTTCACAATGTCTGAAAACACTTATTAAATTTCAATGGATCATATATTATCGTCAGAAATAAAATTAAAAACTATTTTTCGCAATGTTATTGAAAACAACTATTCTCGGGACACATGCTTTGGCAGCGGGTCCACAATAACATTGTCAAAGAGCAAAGTAACGATGTTTCGAGGAAATCATTAAATAAAGTGAATAAACTAATGAATAAAATCAACAATAACATTCATAAAAGTTGTCAAACGTACATATAAAATTACTATTTCCATCTTTTTGTGCGATCATGTTATATAAGTCAAGTCACTGACAAGTGACATCTCGGCTTTCGCCGTCTCAATCTTCACGCTTGGACGCGATGTTTAATGCGAAAATATATGCATGAAACAATTTTGTCAATTTTAGCACGATACGTCCAATAAGTTCCATAATTTACGTATAGGTAGCGATTTCTTGCTTAATATGTTCAGAATAGCATTATTTTACCCAAAACATTCGTCTAAATCTAAAGGTTTTCTACGTGTACGAGGACAGTATCCATTGCCATAATATGATTGGCTGCCTTAGGTCACATGTCTGATTTTGACCAATCATGACCCTTATAGCAGACTGGCGAAAATGCATCATTAGAAACCAATCTTTATCCAATAAAATCGCTTCTTACAACTGTGAAAATACTCTCAACAAGGGTACAGTGATGTTGTTGATGTTCAGAGCTTTCAAACGATACCCCCCATCAAACGATTCGCCTCCCATGTTATTCATACGAAGCTTCGAAAACGGAGGTATTTTCCATTGTTGTGTCATGTTACCGAGCGGAAAACCACTGATATCGTGAAATAGGCGACCATACATATTTTTTAAGAAATCTTTTTATGATAATTTTCTGATTGCGTAAAAATAAATACATAAAAGAAAAAGTCACGGGGATGTTATGACATGTCACAAATGGAAAATAATCGCCATAGTTTTTGCTTCTTTCGTGGTTTATCTGGACATTATAAATGTAAGCTTGCAGTTTCATTAAAAATAAATTTAAGTTGTAGTTGTATTATTTGAATGATATGATAAAAATAAATTTAATATTTATCAACAGTAGGATTAGATCTCTTAAATGGTGTATGAGATGTAGTAGCAATAACGTTTTACAAGCTTATAATTTCCTTCATAAACATAGGCTTCATGTATGACCTTAGAGTCTCTGGGAGCTCGTTGTCATGGCAGTAAAAGCTTCTGGTTGACTGGTGTTGAAAGAGTTAACCTGTAAAGTAGTACAGATGTTGGGGTTCCGGCATCAGTCTCAATACATCATGATATAGTTTTATGCAGAGTGATACGGTACTCTCAACATCTGTACCATCTTTATTATGAGGCGGGGCAGTGGGGTAGCCTAATGGTTAAAGCGTTGGCTCGTCACGCCGAAGACCCGGGTTCGAATCCCCACATGGGTACAATGTTTGAAGCCCATTTCTGGTGTCCCCCGCCGTGATGTTGCTGGAATATTGCTAAAAGCGGCGTAAAACCAAACTCAGTCAGTCAGTATTATGAGGCATACCTTGACGTCCATACACAATCGTAAATGTTAAGGAAGATATGTCCATTGTTTAACTTATTTGCACTGGGTGTTTGATTTGAAGAATAGGTCCACAGTACCCAAGACTTGTCTTTGGCGTCCACTAATAAGATTGGGTGGTGACACGTTACTAGGGCTGCATCGATTCACCCAGACCTTGATTTGATTTGATTTTCGATATTGGACCCTCGATTCGATCCTTTTCGATTCAATTCTTCGTACAAGTAAAAACATTAGATTTCATTTGTCTGTCAGGGTCAGCTTTTTAAGCGTGAAATCCGTTGTCAACTTGGCGATGTCTACCAACAACAATTCTCATTGGATAATTAGCTTGGCGTCAACCAGTCGCGTTTTTGCCTTATTTCAGCTATCGTCCAAACACAATCGTAAATGTTAAGGAAGATATGTCCATTGTTTAACTTATTTGCACTGGGTGTTTGATTTGAAGAATAGGTCCACAGTACCCAAGACTTGTCTTTGGGGTCCACTAATAAGATTGGGTGGTGATACGTTACTAGGGCTGCATCGATTAACCCAGACCTCGATTTGATTTGATTTGATTTTCGATATTGGACCCTCGATTTGATCCTTTTCGATTCAATTCTTCATACAAGTAAAAACATTAGATTTCATTTATCTGTCAGGGTCAGCTTTTTAAGCGTGAAATCCGTTGTCAACTTGGCGATGTCTACCAACAACAATTCTCATTGGATAATTAGCTTGGCGTCAACCAGTCGAGTTTCGCCTTATTTCAGCTCTCAAAACAGCTCGAGTTGGAGTCAACATTACGTTGTGGCTGTGTAGAAATAGGTATTCAAATATCAAATCGAAATAGTGATAATGGTTATCGAAAATCGATACAAAGGTGTCAGATGCGATTTTCGATGAATCGAACCGAATCGTTGCAGCCCCTACACGTTACCCTGGCAACATGGAGCCTGATTCTTATTTATTATTGGTTCGTCCATCCTCAACATTACATGTTATCTTGCTGTAATGCTAGAGCTGAACTGTCTGACTGTCGTGGCATGTAAAAACTTTCAGACTGGCTCAAAATTAAGGAAGGATGCTGATATCAGAGATGCCAACCTCTACGATTTTTTCGTAGTCACTACAAATTTTAGCCTCAAACTACGCCAATATGATTGCACTAGATATTCCATGATATTTGAAGAAAATTAATTAAAATTCTGATATATTAACAAAAACATATATTTTCATCGATTAAATACATTTTCGCCAAAAAGAGACAAGATGAAACATAATGCAGATAATTTGGAAATCTGCTGTTGGAGGTATGTGAAATTAAAGCTTCACTCTTGACTAGTGTCATATTATCTTTCTCAGAGTCCATCATGATATTAAGTATTTTGTTGACTACAAAACTTTATGGTCAAACTACGAATTTTGATCCTTGAAAGTACTATTTGCAACACTTTGGGATTGGCATCTCTGCAATATATGGATGAACAACTTCTTTGCTGCAGCGAGAGTAAAGAAGATGTTCATCCATAGATTGTTTTCCTTCCTTACTCCCACATGGGTACAATGTGTGAAGCCCATTTCTGGTGTCCCCAGAAATTTGATGAAGTACCCGAAACTGATATTGCTGGAATATTGCTAAAAGCGGCTGAGTTTGTTATGGTATCCCATGAAACCAAAAACAGTCAGTCAGTCAGTCCTTCCTTACTATAGTCTGTTTGCAGTGAAAACGTACCGATGAATTTCACTTTAAACAAAAACGTAAATCAAATAAAGTGAAAACACTTGATGGTGGAACATGTCACAGGTGTTGTCCTGAAAACGGGTTTAATTCTTAGAAAACTCACTTCATTTACTGAAAAGTCATGACTGAATATTTCTTGAAGAATCTGGGAGGTTTATGTTCATGATGTATTAGCCATCACTTTAAGTAGCAAGCTGCATCATTTTACATTGGATGTGCAATTTGCGCAATATCTAAGTGAAACAACAAAACAAGGAAGAACCATGTTATGCTTATCTGCAATAACAACATCAACAGGAAGATTTTAAAAATAATGTTAACCCATTTTTTTCGATGATTGCTCGTTGGTAAAAAAACAGTCATCAATTGTAAGATTTCAACCAATTCCCAACACTATTCATTACTGCTCCAACCTCTAAAAGCCGCTCAAAGACTAGTTTGTTTGTGTTTTTGAAGTGTTTTTTGATAGATACAGGAGAATACTTTTATAATGAATACGGATATAGCGAACTGACGGCTATAGCAAACTGTTTTAAAAGTCCTGAATAAACCTTATATTATCATATAAAAAAGTGAATAGCGAACTATGGATATAACAAACTAATTTCAGTGGTCCCTTGGAGTTCGTTATAAAGGTATTTTACTGTACTAGAATTTTTGACAAATATTGAAGATTTGAATTGAAGAGGCTGGAAAATTACTTCCTGTGTCAGAAGACGTCCAACAGACCCTGTTCTCAAGACAAATGTCAATTGTTTACCTAATAGTACCTACCATTCAGGACAAGGATCAAATCAAAATGTGCTGATTTCGTGATATGAAGTGTCGCTGTTGTGATTCATGGTGTTACAATATATTCCTAAATCACAGGGCACGGTGGGGTAGACTAGTGGTTGAAGTGTTCGCTTGTCACGCTGAAGGCCTGGGTTTGATTCCCCACATGGGTACAATGTTAGAAGCCCATTTCTGGTGTCTCCTTCTGTGATATTGCTGGAATATTGCTAAAAGCGGCATAAAACCAAACTCACTCATCTAAATCATATAGTCACACAGACACCTAGGCAACTTTCATTTTTTGAAATTATTTTCAATGAAGTAATTATCATCCTTTTTCCTTAAAACAGACATAAAGAGATGACTTTTATCATTTAGCAAAACTAATGTTTAAACAAGTTAGCTATTTCTTCCTGTGTTTAATATTTTATTAACAACGGGGAGAGTTCTATAGATATACAGCTTCTTTATTATTAAGATGAGCGATGTTTATCAAGCAAGTGATGGATACAAAAGAAGTTGTATATCCA